CAAACAAACAAACAAACAAACAAACAAACAAACAAACAAACAAACAAACAAACAAACAAACAACCAAACAAACAAACAAACAACTAAACATAAATAAATAAATAAATAAATAAATAAATAAATAGATAGATAAGTACTTGTCTTATTAGCTCCGGCAGCAGCATAAAATGATAGTCGTAGATTAAAATGATATCGCCGGCTGTATATAATTTTTTAACAGCCTCTGCGAATTCTTCGTTCATTCTTTTGTAGCCTTCCCAGTCCAAGTGAGAGAACCCCGTCCCTATTAACAAGTATAAATATATATAAGTATTTATATATATATATTTATATATTATTTTATGTCTTATCTGCATATTATATCATATATACAGTTGTTGTATTATAGATAGTAGGATATATATATGTAGTTCCTATTAACACGTGCAAATATATATAAATATATATATATATATATATATTTATATATTTATATTTTGTCTGTATACTATATCATATATACAGTTGTTGTATTATATATAGTAGAATATATATATGCAGTTCCTATTAACAAATGCAAATATATATAAATATATATATATATATATATATTTATATATAAATGTTTATATTATATTATATTTTATATTATATTTTATATATGATGTGTATATTATATAATATATATAGTTGTTGTAGTATAGATAGTAGAATATATATATAAAGTAAATATTAACAAATGCAGCATATATATATATATATATGTGTATATATATGTACATATATATATATATATTTAACTTGTACATCGTAGATTCTATATATCCAGTAGCTTAGTGAGCAAATAGAAATAACAATATATATAATTATATATATAATAATATATAATACTATAGATATGATTATATACAACTACATATATAATTATAATATATTTATAATTATATATACTTAACACAGCAGAATATATAAATTATACAGCTCATTATTTATACTGTACGTTATTAATTAATATTATAAATATTAATAAAACATATTATATATAATATTTTTAATATAACGTAGCGTATTCAGTATTTGTTCTGAGAAGGACTTTAATTAGCTATTGCATATTACATTAGATACCTATATAGAATAAATAATATAATTAATATAACAATAATAAACATATACTATTAATTATATTTTATTATATTTATCTTACCGACAGGAGGCGTTCTACAATGAAAGAGCGTATTTAATATTTGTTCTGAGAACGATTCTTTTCTTGCTTCTTTTGTCAGCGAAATAGGATATACATTTGGATGTTGTTTTTTTAAAGCTAAAGATATTTTATGTTTAATTAAGTTTAATTCGCTGCCTGTTAATCGCATATCATCTGAGTGTACACCTAAATCAGAGATGGTTATACACTTCAAATAAGGAGACAAACTTTCTGCTATATTCCACGCTATGTCTGCCCCTCTTAGGACTACCAAGCTGTCTGCTTCTTCATCACCTTGCTCCTGCTGCTGCTGCTGCTGCTGCTGCTGCTGCTGTTCCTGCTGCTGATGATGGGGCTGTTGTTGCTGTTGCTGCTGCTGCTGCGGAGGACGAGGAGGAGGAGGAGGAGGCGAGAGAGATGCAGCAGCAGCAGCAATAGGGGTCTTAGAAGAAGGAATCTGCTGCTGCTGCTGCTGTTGACTGCTGCTGCTGCTGCTGCTGCTGGTACTTGTACCCCCTGGAATCTGTTGCTGCTGCTCCTGTTCCTGCTGCTCCTGTTGCTGCTGCTGGTGCTGCAGCAGCAGCAGGTTGCTGTCTGAACGTGAGGCTTCTAACTGAGCAACGGGAACCTCTAAAAGGCTTCGTATAGCTTTACCTCTTTTCGGCATCAGCTGCATGTCGCTGCGAACTCTGTTTAAAAGCTCTTTCGCTAGTGTTAATGAACGCACCCGTAAAGCATCTCCAGCGCAGCAGCAACTGCTGCTGCTGCTGCTGCTGCTGCTTTCTAGTCCTTGCACAGCTGAAGAGCTCCAAACGCTGCTCCCATGAATACCTCCTGCTGCTGCTGCTGCTCCGGCTGCTGCTGTTGCTGTTGCTGGATCGCCTCTTTCACCCCCACCAGGGCCTGTTGCTGCTGCTGCTGCTGCAGCATAAGAGGGATCCGCAGCAGCAGCAGATCGGTGCCCTAGGTTTTCTAAAGAGCTGCATGCATATAGAAGGCCGCTTGGCAGTCTCCTCGTTTGTGAAGCCCCACCAAAAGACAGAGAGTGAATAGGCTGCTGCACGATTTGATCTTCAACTTGCTGCTGAGCATCAGCAGCATCAGCAGCAGCAGCAGCAGCCGCAGCCGCAGCCGCAGCAGCAGGACCAGCAGCAGAAGCAGGATGACGAGCAGCAGAAGAACCATCATCAGCATCTGCAGCTTCATGAGCATGAGCAGCAGCAGCAGCAGCAACAGCAGCAGTAGGAGCAGCAGGAGGAGGAGTGTTGCTGGTATCAGAGTTTTTTGCTGCTGCAGCTTCTGCTTCTGTCTTCGCCAGCATCATTTGTTCAATCCTAGCAGCACAGTTATTCGGCATTAAAACATCAAAAGGCAGTCTGCGAACAACAATAATGCACTTGCCCTGCAGTCTATGACTCCATTGCTCCCCAACAAAAGAAGACAAATCTAAACGCTTAGGGGCCCCCTCTCCTTCACACCATACACCCCGACCAAATCCTAACGATACACCAGGGGGCCCCCCATCATTACGACCCCCAAACGGGCCCCCAAACGGGCCTCCAAAGGGGCCCCCAATAGGGGGGCCCCCAATGGGGGGGCCCCCAATAGGGGGGCCCCCAAGGGGACCCCCAAAGTGGCTTCCATAGGGGCCCAAAGGGGGCCCCCCAAAAGAGCCCCCAAAGGGGCCCCCAAAGGGGCCCCCAATAGGGGGGCCCCCAAAGGGGCCCCCAGGGGGGGCCCCCTGGGAATCCCCTGAAAGTGAAGTAGATGGGGGGCCCCCTAAATATAAGCGTCTTCTTTCTTTTTTATTGCGAGAGCTGAGACTCTCAGAGTAGAATATCCGAGAGTGCTTTAATAGAGAAGGGCTTGTCTTGCTGCTATCTTGCTGCTGCTGCTGCTGCTGCTGATGATTATGATGCTGCTGATGCTGCTGCTCCTCTTGTTGCTGCTGCTGCAGCAACGGCTGATGCCACAACCTACGACTTTGAAAAAAATCTGCTGAAGCAGCCCGTGTGCTGCTGCAGCAGGAACGAGACCCACCAACTGCACGTCTGCTGCATCTTCCTGCTGCTGCTGCTGCTGCTGCTGCTGCTGCCGCTGCTGCTGTTGCTCTCGCCGTCGGTCCTCCTGTTGCTGGTGCTGCTGCTGATGTATTCGCTGTCACTCTTTCTGCTGCTGCTGCTCTTGCTGCTGCTGCTGCTAGGATGACCAAAGCTACTGCTGCTGCTGCTGCTGCTGCTGCTCTCCTCACACCCCGTTGAGCCGCATTTGCTCGCCTCCCCCAGTCCTTGCTGCTGCTGTTCCTGCTGTTGTTGTTGGTGCTGCAGTTGCTGCTGCTGCTGCTGCTGCAACCACTCATCCTGCTGCTGCCGTTGTGGAGCAGTTTGAGCTCGGCCGCGCTTCGCTGATTGTCTGCGTTTGTTGCTGTTGCTGCTGCTGCTGCTGCTGCTGCTAGTTTCTGCTTTGACCTCCGTTTGTAGCAAATGAGAGGCCTCAGCAGATAGAGTGCTGCTGCTGCTCTGAGGGAACCCCCCAAAACTAACAGAGGCGCTGCGACCGAATCTGCTGCTGCTGCTGCTGCTGCTGTTGCTGTTGTTGTTGCTGCCAACTTTGCTGCTGCTGCTGCTTCTTGCTTTCTCATCGTACTTGCTGCTGCCACTCGTTGTTGCAGCGGCCATTTTAGCTGCTGCTGCTGCTGCTGCTGTTGCTGCTGCTGCTCGTGCTGCAGCCTGTGCAGGGGTTGTTTGGGCCGTTTCCCCATCTATTGCGACTTGCTGCTGCTGCTGCTGCTGCTGTTGCTGTTGTTGCAGCTGCTGCAGCAGGTTTGGCTGCTCTAGCCTCGTTATTGAGGCCGCAGCTTCGTACACCTCATGGCAGTGGAGATGCTGGTGCTGCTGCTGCTGCTGCTGATGCTGGTGTAGCAGCTGCTGTTGCTGCTGCAGGAGTTGGTGCTGCTGTTGATGCAGCAGCAGTAGCTGCTGCTGCTGCTGCTGGAACAGCTGTTGCTGCTGCAGCTGCTCAGATTGCAGTTGACGCGGGAGCATGTGGTGCTCTTGGATTTGTTGCAGATGTTGTTGCTGCTGCTGCAGCTGCTGCTGCAGCTGCTGCTGCGTCGGGGGCTGGTGCTGAGAAGGCCCCAGCTGCTGCTGCACCGCTGGAAGAGACGAGGAAGACCTCAAGAACCCTGCTGTCGTGCTCTGAGGGTTGACGGCAGCAGCAGCAGCAGCAGCAGCAGCAGCAGCAACAGCAGCTTCGGAGGGCCCAGCCAGCTGCTGCAGCGGCTGCATGTTCTGCTGCTGCACATGGCGCTGCAGCAGCTGCTGCAACGGTTCCCCAGGGGTCTTCCAGAACTCCTGCTGCAACGCCTGCTGCTGCAGCGCCTGCTGCTGCTGCTGCAGCGTCTCCCGCTGCTGCTGCAGCGCCTGTTGCTGCAGTGCTGCCTGCTGCTGCTGCTGCAGCGTCTGCCGCTGCTGCTGCAGTTCATGCAGCAGCAAGAGCCCCTGCGGCTGATACGAGTGGTCTCCAAGGTGAGAGCTTTCCAGCAGGAGGGGTAGCTGCTGCTGCTGCTGCTGCTGTTGCTGCTGCTGGTGCTCCTGTTGCAGCAGATGTTGTGGCTGCTGGTGCTGCAGCAGCATGGGAAGCATAAGATGAGCAGCACAGAAGTGCTGCTGCTGCGCATTTTGCTGCAGTGTATTTGATAGCCCCGCAGATGCACCACCTGGAGCTTCTTGTGATTGTTCTCTTGAAGGTTGCTGCTGCTGCTGCAGCAGTTGCTGCTGCTGCTGCAGCAGTTGCTGCTGTAGTTGTTGTTGTTGCTGCTGCTGGTGCAAGGGCTGCGCTGGCAATTGATGCTGCAGGCAGTGCATGGGTTGTCGCTGCTGCTGCAGCTGCTGGTGCTGCAGCTGCTGGTGCTGCAGCTGCTGGTGCTGCAGCTGCTGCTGCTGCTGCTGCTGCGGGCGCCACAGCGGCTCCTGCTGCAGGTATAACTGTGGGTCAGAGCGAACTACATGGGCGTGCTGCTGCACTTCGTGCTGCTGCAAGGTGGCAGGAGCTGCTGCAGCAGCAGCAAGGAGCCCCGCTGCTTCACTTGTTAATTGTCTATCAGCAATTTGCTGCTGAGCAGGGGGGCCCTGCTGCAAGACAACAGACCCAGGAATATTACAATCATGGGCATGCTGATGCTGCTGCTGCTGCTGTTGTGGAGCTTGCTCTTGGTGCTGCTGCTGCTGCTGCTGCTGCTGCTGCTGCAAGTCTAAGTACTGCGACTCAGATTCTGCTGAGCTGCCCCTGGCAATTGTTTCTTCTCTGGTGTTTGTCGGAGCTGCAGAAGCAGCAGCTGTTGTGTCTGTGGGGCCCTCCGATGCTGCTGCTGCTTCTGCTGCTGCAGCTGATTCTGCTGCTGCAGCTGCAGCTGCAGCAGCAGCAGCAGGCTGCATAGGGTCCATTGGTCTTCAGCCCTCTGTGCAGAGTGCTGCTGCTGCGTTTGTTTGATTTTTTTGTGTTAAAAAAATAAATATAAATAAAACAAAATAAATTTGAGGAAAAACAAACTTGTTTCTTTATTTTTACTTCAACCTTGGCGGAGTTGCAGCAGCCAGCAGCGGCGTGCAGATAAGAATGCAAATAAAGTATTTTATCTTCTTTTATTTGTTTTTGAAGATAAAATAATTTATAAAAAACAAAAGATTGAAATTTAATGAACAAAATTACGCAAATTTTATATTGTAGAGGCATGCAGTGTACAGACAGACCAATGGGCAGGGGTGTGTATAGGAGTTAGTAGTCTGTTGTTTTTGAAGTAATTGTTGTTTAATTTCGTTTAAAAGTTTAATTAATATGATTTTAATTCAATTATTTTAATTTATTATCCCAAAAATCAAACAAATATACACAAATTATATATACTGCATGCTGCTGCACTCTGAGATCAGCACCCCCCGTTAGCAGAGACCCAAGTAAACTTCATTGAAATTTACAAATCTTAAATAATTGTTTAATTGCATTTAATTATATTTAAATCCTAAACCCTAAACCCTAAACCCTAAATATTACTTTTAATATTTAATAAAATTTAACTGCATTTAATGAGAACTTGAATTAATCATGCACTGACTATTGAATGATATACTTGAAAGTAAATTTATTATTAGATTTATTATTTTATTGTATTATATATAGTTAAATAATTCTTTTTGTATTGCAACTAGTATTGCTGCATTCTGGAGAAACAAATTTGTATATATATATATATATATATA